TTAACTTAATTCGTTTTAGGACAACATGAAAAATTGAGTGGAACGCAAAATTTTTTAGTGTAGTTTGTGGTGACCCGTCTATATAAAATATCAGTTTTAATTATTCATTCATTTTCTTTTCGGTTTAGTCCCTTTGTCAATCCAGGGTCGCCACAGCGGAATGAACCGCAGAAGGAACTTGCCCTTCCAGCTGAAACCCATCACTGGGAAACATACACTCAAAAAATATATATTTTAACTTGTTTAAATAATAATTAAAATCAGCTGAATCAACACAATTCTTGAGATTTCATTGGGACAACTTAATTTTTTTTGTTCAATCCACATAAATTTGTTAAAAGTGTTAAGCTAACTTAATTAATTTGTATTGGGAAAACATGAATGAATTATGTGGAACCCTGCATTTTTTACAGTGTACACACCATACACTATCATTCACACACATACACTATGGACAATTTTACCCAGTTCACCTATACCATGTCTTTGGACTTGTGGAGAAAACCAGAGCACCTGGAGGAAAACCACGCAAACACAGGGAGAACATGAAAACTCCTCACAGAAAATGCCAACTGACCCAGCCAAGGCTCAAACCAGCGACCTTCTTGCTGCGAAGCGACAGCACTACCTACTGCGCCACCGTGTCGCCCAGCTTTAATTATGCTACCGATTTGTCTGGAGCTACAATAGCATGATATAATCCGAGAATGTGCAAAATATGGTCGTTCAAAATATTCTCCAGCTTTTTTGGTTGTGTATTTCTTGGGATAAAACCTGCTTTGAAGCTGGTCTAAAATTAAATTTAACTGGAAACTAGGCATGGGCCGGTATAAGATTCTGACCGTATGATTACCTTGGATAAAAAAAAAAAAATCACAGTTTCACAATATTGTGATTACTGCTCTAAAACATATGTTTTTTACATTTCTGAGTAAAAATAAAGAGAACTTTTTTACCGCTTTGAACACAACCGCTACGTCTGAATTTGCATACTTCTATACTATAGTACGTTATAATTAGTATGCGAGCCAAGTAGTATGTCCAAATTCAATGAAATTGAAAATCAGTATGCGAGAAGTACCCGGATGACCTACTACTTTTCGTGAGATTCTGAAGTGTGCATCCGATGGACGCTGGGCTATCTCATGATACCCTGCGAGAGAATTCATGAATGGAAGTGAAGTGGAAGTGTCAAAATGGCATCCGTAGTTCTTCAGAGCTCCATTCATACTACTCACATTCATACTGTATAGAACATACTTTTTTATCGTTCAGTAATAAATTCAAATTCAAAGGCAGTACCTACTGAGCAGTATGCGATTTTAAATGCAGCCAATATATTTTTACTTTAAGAAACATTGGAAATGTTTTGGAGCAGTAAACATGTCAGGCTGAATCATTCAAATAAATCATTGATTTCTGCTGTCTTCATTAGTTTCAAAAACTAATTTCTTTACTATTTAAAATGGCTTTGGATGTCTTTTCTGCGGGAGATGCTGTTGTCCTAAAAAACGTAAAAAAAGAAAAAAAACTTACATATACCTTAGGAATAGTATAAAGAAAAACAGAAAGTGTTGGCCGTTTTAAAACCCTGACTTTTGTAAACCGTGGTATACCCTGAAAATGGTTATTGTCCTATGCCTAATGAAAACTTACATAGTCAAAAATAATATAGCTTTTAAGCACTGTGAAATATTTTAATTAGCACAAAACACTGTCTCTTCAAATGTTCAAATGATCAGCCTATTTGTTCTCATTTATTTTCAACACTTCGATGCAGCAACAACAACCTGTTAATCTAAAACGTGTTAAGTTGAACTCACACCAGATGTTAATTCACACCAGATGGTGCATTTCTGTCTCTGTTTCTGTCATATAGGACACAATTAATTCCGTTAAAAATGAAGACGGCATACTCAATTTAAGAAGTGAGTTTTTATTAATCACAAACATACTGTTCAAGAATTCACACAGGATTTGTACCGGTCCCAAACCCAACGGGACATTAACATGAATTCAGTGAATGAAATATGCTTCATTTCAAATTCCAGCTGTCTCCAAAACAACCACAGAAACTAAAATGAGTGGAAAACATCTGAACTCGGCCTCCAAAACATCTTACTCAAGAGTTACGAACCCAGAAAAATAAGACAGAGAACTGGGAGCAGAATAATACGGGAATTGGAGAAAATGCTCTTTTTGGCAGTCAGTATTTGGTACAGCTCTCCTGATTTTTATTTTCAAACCCACAAAATACTTGATTTTCCGTTATGCTCACAGTACTCAATATATGTAGATATATATGAAGAACTATATATCTAGATATCATAACGTACCTCGCTTTCTAACTTACTATATAAAATGAATTATATATTTGTCTAGTGAAAACTCGATTCCATCTGCTGATTTAACACTAGTGCTCTGTCCTCCTCAAACATTACTTCACTCTACATTTAGGCACTAATACATAATAGAATATCTACGTCAATGAAAAGAAAAAGAAGTCATCAAATCAATGCACAACAACAGGTCTATTTACAAAAAAATATTTATAATACTAGAGATCTGTCCAAAACGGTGGGCGCAGAACATTATCATTCCTCTCAAACACCTGTTCATTACTTACTATTGACCTGGTCTAAGAGAGATGAATTAAAAGTGATTGATTAAAAGTTGTTCTGCATATTCCAATGAATTGCTACAGCAGTAATTGCTAACAGGCTGTAATCACATGATAAACACAGGGGGGAACAGTTTGTTATAATGTATATAAAAATGTCCTTTTCCCACATTAAATGATACCATATTTCCAATTCAGCACAACTACATTTTGTAGGAGTATGCATAACTGGCCATTATTGGTATTTGTTTAACTTTTAACCTCTGTTGTTGTAAAACAGTTGTCAAATAGTAATATGTCACTGCTTCAATCTTATCTTGCACGCTCTTTAAATGTTAAAATTAATCAGTTGTGTCATATTCAAATATTAAAAAGTATATAAAAACGTTTATATATATATATATATATATATATATATATATATATATATATATATATATATATATATATAAAAACCTTTTATATTTTTTTCACATTGAATAAATCATATTTTGAATACAACATGTCTAAATTTTGAAGTAGTATGAATACCTGGAAATTATTGGCAGTTGTTTTATTTGTTATTATCATAAAATGGTGGTCAGTTAGTAATATTTTACTGCTTCAACCTTATCTTGCCAGCCGATTATCGAGTGTTATCACTCGATTGAATTGGCGTTATCAGCTGATAGATATGCGCCAGTAGGGGCATTCTGTGCCTACTAGTAGGCTCAGAAGCTTGTTTTCAATCATCCACATAGTTAATTAGCTATAGATCACATTCGGTTGCCACAAGAAGTTAACGAGAATTATATATAATATTTATTAATTTTCACTTAAATGTATTTTATTAACAGCTACCCCAACCCTAAACCCAACCGTCACAGTAATGTAAAAACACATCTGGATCTTGGGTCTTATCTGTTAGTATAGCTGATTAACCATGTGTCTGGATGATAGCAGCCTTCTGAGTCTACTAGTAGGCGCAGAAAACACCTACTGGCCCATATCTATCAGCTGATGATCACTGATAACAATCATTCAATTGAGTGAAAACATTCTAAGCAGGTGATCTTGCTGTCTTTTAATGTTAAAATAAACAATTTGTTTCATTATTGTTAAAATATTTAAAAAGTACATAATTTTTTTTTTAAATATAAAAAGCATTTAATATTTTTTTCCCACAATAAATATACTATATTTCCAATTCAGCACATCTCAATCTTAATGTAATGCATTACTTGGCATTATAGGCAGTTGATTTTTTTTATTTATTTATTGTACAACACAAAGTTGTCAAACACCAATGCTTTTTAACACTCTTCTTCTGTGAATGGTAAACTCCGCCTACTTTGATTTGATTGGTCAACACAATCATTCTGATATTGACCAACACTGTTAGAATGCTGAAGCAAAAAACCCTTGTGCACTGTTTATATGTACTACCCTTTTGTTATGTTTGCTGTCATACTCCATATAACTCCATATAAAATCCTAAATCCAAATTTTTTTTTGACCAGATCAATCTAAAGTGTTGACTGATGATCAACTGTAAAAACTGCTAATTTGACCTCTTCCCAACAGGGAAAACCACCAACAATTAAAAACGCCTGATTAAATGGTGTCATGGTTTTTCAATCAAATAATGTGGTTATATTGGAAGTCAATGGAGCAAAAACAGCCACCAACAGTAAATAAAAGAGAGAAAAAATGAAAATCTTATGTTGCACAAAACAATTATTGGTTGTTTATATACATAGACATGTCCCCTCAGTATCTAGAATGGTTACGGCTCTGTCTGCATTATTGTCACAATTCAGGCTACAGAGGAAGGCACTTAAGAGGAATGATTCTTCAGAAGTTTTCTGAGCATGTAAGGATTCAAACAAATGGTTTTACTCATAAAATGTAGCATTCCGCTTCAGCTGATTGTACTCCTTAAACTCTTCATGTAGGTCAACGTTACATGAGAACAGTCTAAATATATTCATAATCATGGCTATAGAAGTAAAGGTAAGTTTACATGGTTCCAGGTTTGCTGTAATGTATTAAATAAGGCAGATCCCCTCTCTACCATGGAAAGAGTGTCATATTTGCCTCATTCAGCGTTTGGTTCGACCAATAACGTCTTACGCACAGTGTATCGCACAGTGGATCTATATACAACCAGTAACAGTTAGCCAACTAACAAACCCTGTTGTGTTATAAAGTAACATGAGGAGTGTGCTTATTCACTCAAATAATAAAAAGAAAAGAGAAAGCAAAGGAAAAATATATCATAATAAAAAAATAAGAAACAACCTAGACAGTATATTCACTATATACAAGATAAACAGCTAGCATAAGAAGGACACTTAAAATCAAAAATACACAGCACTGGTCTTTCAAAATAATCTCCAGCTTTTTTTTTTGTTTGTTTGTTTTTTTTTGCTGGTGTTTTTCTGAAGATGTTCACCGTCTAAGACTATCTACAAACATGAACATGGAACGTCCTTTCACTACTACCATGAAATCCCAGCAGTTTTGTCATTACATAAGACCTTTGATTGAAGCCGGTGTTCGCTGGATATGCGACTGAAAGGATTTGAACTGGAAAACAAAACATCCACACGTCGAGTGGTTTGGTGCATCGTTTGCATGTTGTAGAACGAAAACCGAGGATGTGAAGTGAGTGGTTTAAACTTAGTCACAATCAAAAAAAAAGAAGCTAAAACTAAAAGGTACTGGCTTCCAGGTTAGTATTTTACAAATATTTAAAAAAGTAAAACATTTTGATTTCTATAGGCATTTTTAAAATATATTCCATCAAAAATAGTCTGAGAAATTTAGCTAGTACAAAACAAATGTTCTCAAAGTGACAGAAGAGCTTGAGGAAAACGTTTTCTGGATGTACTACTGTATTTATCGGCTTCTACTCAAATTTGAGATTTTAGTCAGTCGTAAAAAGGGGCTGTAAAAGTTGAAAAGAGTAACATCTAATACGTCTTTAAACAGTGATCAGATGCGATTATTTGTCACCTTTGGCAAATACAAGTTTTGTAGTCACTGTTGTGTCGTAAAGCGAGGCACGTGCCGTGGCAGCTCTGACATCTGTGTCCTCATTTGGGGATTTGTGTCTGCGAGGTAAAATAGCGCCAATAAATCGAACGTAATTCTGCATCTCTTCCATCAGAAATCTTCCTCCTCTCAGATGACAAATGAGGATTTGTGCCTGAAATCCCCCTGAAAGAGAGAAGATTGCGTGAAGGAGGTTGAGATAATTCCTTGTCTTAAACTACAAGACTTTAAAGAGATTTCTTAAGCTCTTGAAAAAAAGAGATAAAAAAAAATAGATGAAATCTTTTGATTTTCTCTTACCTCATCCTCTGTTCTGACATAGTCCACTCCATCTCCTTTTGCTGGAGGTTTGTAACTGAGAAGAGAACAAAAAAAAAAAAGGAATTTAAAAAAAATTACTGAATGTTTTAGATATGGAAAATATGTTAATATGTCAGTCACTACTATATCTTATTAATATTAATGTTTTGAATAATTTAGATGCTTTTAACAGACCTTTGCTCACCAAACACTGCATTTATTTGATTAATAATACAGTAAAATGGTAAATAACTACACACTATGAATCATTTATTGAGTATTATTAAATAGTGAATTCATTATCTGTTAAGCATTAACTCTACATTAAAATATATTAGTCAGCAGTTTAAAACTGCAGATACAAAAGCTTTTCTTATGTTAAAGTTTTCTTATCTTAATAATTCGCATTTTCATACTTTGTTAATTATTAAATTTTCCATTACTAAATTAAGTATTACATGATTTACAAACCAGTCATTGGAGAGATTTTTTTTTTAAAAGATTATTTAGACTGCATAAGTAAATGATACATAAACTATTCAAATCAACACACATCTTATTATTCAGGCATATACTAATAGTTAATTTGCATGTTAATAACTGCTTTATTAACTTAACTTTATCCAGTTTTGTGACCTAATCTAAAGTGAGGGCTATTTATGCTTTATTTGCTTTATATATACAGTATATGCTTTATTCATTTGAAGATACACAAATAATAAACTGTAATTAACTAAAATAAAATTACTGTACAGTTTAAACATCACTAAATAACATTGAAATGTTGTATCATATTGTATTGTTATATTATTATATTGTTGGTGTTTTATACAGTTTTATGTTGTATTTTGACACTCCTGTAATTCAGCAATGGTTAAACTTCACTGTAATTTTACTTTTTAGATAAGACTGCAAAGACGTATTGTTCATTTGATGCTGAGCCTTTAATTGTCATTTATAAGGGATTTATAAAGCATAAACAGTCCTCACTTTAGATTAGGTCATGAAGTTAATGGATGAAGTTAATAAAGCATTTATTAACATACATATTAACCAATAGTATATGCGGTAACACTTTATAATAGCTACGAACCATTTATTAAGCATTAGCTAATAATGAATTCATTATTTGTTAATCATTAACTCTAAATTAATAGACGCTAGTGAGCAGTTTATAGCTGCAGATGTAAACACTCTATTCTTGACTTAAAGCACATTTAAATGTGCTTAATAATTGTTCTTTCATACTTTGTTACTGATTAAGTTTTCATGAATAAATTAAGTGTTGCATTAATAACAAATCAAATTTGTATTTAAGAGTAGTTCGTTTTTTAAAGATTATTCAGAATGAGTAAGTAAATGATTAATAAACTATTCAAATCATGTCTTATTATTCAGGCATATCCTAATAGTTACTTTGTATTTTAATAAATGCTTTGTTAACTCAACTTTATGCAGTTTTGTGACCTAGCCTACAATAAAATGAGGACTGTTTATGCTTTATAAATCCCTTATAAATGACAATAAAGGCTCAGTATTAAATGAACAATACATCTTTGCAAACTTATCTTAAAAAGTAAAATCACAGTATAGTTTAACCATTGCTGTATTACAGAAGTGTTAAAATACTATTAAAATATTATTTTTCATTTGATACGGTTTCATTTGTGTATCTTCAAATGAACAGAAATAAATAAAGTCGTTTACTTACTTTTGTTTCCTGTTTCGAATAAAATTTAGCCTTTAATTGTCATTTAGAAGGGATTTATAAAGCATAAATGGTCCTCACTTTAGATTAGGTCACACAACTGGATGAAGTTAAGTTAATAAAGCATTTACTAACATACAAATTAAGTATATGCCTGAATAATTAGATACGTGTTGATTTTGAATAGTTTAATAATCATTTACTCAATCTGAATGATCTTAAAATAGCAGCAACTAATCTTAAATACAAATGATTTGTAAATAATGCAATCCTTATAATGAATTCACTATTTGCTAATGCTTAATAAATGGTTTACAGTGTGTAGTTATTAAAGTGTTGCCAAAATGATAATTAAGTGTGAAATCATATTGCAGTTTAAAACAACTCTTTGCAATGGTAATACAGTTTAAAATGCAATTCCTGTGAATCATAGTTCATTTTACAGTATCATTGCTGCTTCAGAAATCATTCTAAGATGCTGAGTTGATGCTCAAGAAACATTACTCATTCATTCATTCTTTCATTTTCTTTTCGGCTTAGTCCCTTTATTATTCTGGGGTCGCCACAGTGGAATGAACCCCCAACTTATCCAGCATATGTTTTACTCAGCGAATGCCCTTCCAGCTACAACCTATCAATGGGAAACATCCATACATATTAATTCACACACATGCACTACGAACATTTTAGCTTAGAAACATTATTAATATTATTTATTATTATTAATAAAAATATTGTTATTTTAATGTTAATTATGATGCTTTGTTTATATATTTTACTACAGTAAACATTAAAATGTGTATAAGAAAAAAAGTACAAATACATTTTGACTGATAAAATATCTTTGGTAAAAAAAATAAAACCTGCAGTATGTGGAAAACATAATCAATGGTTTTGTTCTGTAGATGCATTAAATTAATCAAATTAAACCTTTACAAAGAAAATCTGTTCTTTCAAACTTTAGATTTAGCAAAGAAATAAGAGCCAATATTAATAATGTTTTATAATTTTACTCCTATTTTACTTATAAATTTGAATGAACTTATCCAAATTGATTCAAACATTTCCAAACGCGTAGTACTATAAACACATTGGCATTTATTAACTGAACTAAATGTACAAAAAAGTTTCCCCTTTTTAAATCCTAATGATTTTGTCTCAGTTCAAACATATGAACAAACATGCAATGAATGTAATGTTAAGAGCTGGAAACATTAAGCATCTCTTTGGGTGAAGAAATGGAAAACAAGCTGTAAAGCGGTGAGTCAAAACTGCTCTGGGACAGGGTGACTCAGACTGAAGTCGTGTGCTTACTTGTTTCCCGTCTGCTTCTGGCTGGTGAAGTAGCCACGTTTATAGGCACAGAAGATGCCCACTGTTATACACAAGAGGACCATCACCACCACCACGACTCCCAAGATGATGCCGGCAATGTTGATGTCATCTAGTAAAAAACAAGACACAGCATGAGACCATGGCTTTAAGGAATGTCCTCCTGTCACATACAAAAAAAACAACTAAATTCACGTACAAACTTCCATCATCTGCGGTCCACATTCAGAGATGCCAGCCTCATTTTTGGCTCTGCAGTAATATTCTCCCGCGTCCTCCTTCCTGACCGCACTGAATTTCTGAAGAACACGGAAATGACAGGCATTTTAGTTGAAAGACATTTTGCAAAATGAGCTGAACTGCAAATTTTTATTATTTTTTTCTTTTATCAAGGATGTAGGAAATTGATCACGAGGAAGTGATAGTGAATATTTATAGTGTATTATAGGATCTAATTCAAATAAATATTGCTCTTTTGGACTGATGCAAGAAAAAAGTTACCATGGTTTTCAGTTAATATTAAATATAATATTGATATTAACAGTTTTCATTGATAATAAAATTAATTGTTTATTTTGAATGAAATTAGAATGATTTCTGAAGGATCATGTCACACAGAAGACATTCAATTATTTGCATGTTTACAAGTTTCACAATAATATTGTTTTTATTTATTTTCTTTGCCTATTTTATTTTTTTTTGCCGCAAAACACATTGCTGCTCAGAGATGCATCTGATCTGCTGTTTACTCAATTTTCTTTGATGGAGCTCACTTGAGCTAACTTGTCTACGACAGTTACTCAACATTGCTTAGGCCCCTTACACTGTCAGGTCTCCATGTCCAATTCCGATTTCCGATATCTGATTTTTTTCACATTGTCATACAATTTTTCACGTTGTTATACAATTTCGACATCGCACATGCATAAAGGTGGGTTCTAGCATCTGCACCACCCTAGCTACCATGGAAGAAATTGTCTTGCTTTTAGCGTTTTTTATTTTAGAAATATGCAAAGTTCGCCCAACATTAAAATGATTTTGAGGCGGAGGAGGAGGGTAAGGGCCGTCATTGCAGTTTGCGCCTATGGTTTACATATGGTGTCCTCGACTATTCAGAGGAACTTGTGGGTACGAGAGAGATCTCAGGTCTGGTAGGAGCAAATTGTGGCAACTGACCACTTGCCTCCTCCATGTTTCCTCTGTTGTTGTTGTTCTTGTGTCAGCGTCTCCACGCACGCTCTTCCTTGTACGTCATTAAACCACTGAGAAGCACCACATTGGCGCAAGTTTAATGACTTACAAAACAGAAAGCCTCAATAAATGATAGTCGCAGTGTTACATATCCGATTAATATTGGATTTATTTCCACATATGAAGGAGGCCTGAAACCGATCTCTGAATATCCGAATACATGCATTTTTTTGTGTGTGTGTTTACATGGTCATTGAACAGATCCGATCTGTGTCACATGAGCTAAAAATCTGAATTGGGTCACATTTAACTGGCAGTGTAAACCGGGCCTTATTTAACTTGTATGAAAGCAATATCATATTTGCAATTTTGCAGAAAAACAGCACTCTTGCTTGTATTAAAACTCCTAAATCCTCTTTAAAAACCTTTCTGCTTGTCATGCATATGCTGTAAAATTAAGACAAGTAGCAAACAAATCTGATCTCAAAGCAAAAACAATAAAAAAATGGTCTTATGAGACACATTTTTTGGGGTTTTTGTAAAGAGTTGTACCATAGTGCAGGTTAAAACTTTAAAGGTCCCGTTAAGTGTTCTTAAATGAGCATTTTTGTTGTGATGTAATTTGAACTGAAACATGAAGACAGCGGAGGACATAGAGTAGCGCCTCCCCCTTTAAAATAACAGCCAATAGCATTTAGTTTTTATTCACTGCCAGTGAAAGTGATTGAGCTCAAGTGTATATAGCAGTAGCTTCTTGAAGGGAATGGGACATGTTAGATGATAGAGAGCATTTGATTGGTCATAAGATTTGATGACATAAAAAATCATTGATTCATTTAAGAGGAAGTGACAAACTGCAGGTTTTGGATGCTTATATCTTAATGCAAATGTTGTCACTATTTTGAAGCATAGTAGGTTACAGATATCCTTAAGACTAATATACTAATACTAATACTTAAAAAAATTTTTACTTTGATTTCATGGGGGCTTTAAAATCGGTGTGAAGGTTGACAAGGGCACTGAGTACAAATGGTGGAGAATGGCACTCTGGAATGTGCAAATGAGGGCAGCAGATTCTCCTCATGTCTGAGCCCATCACTACCCAAAAATATCCCTCCGTCTACCCCAACTCACCAGCGTGCCCATTTCCCCATCTAGGGTGTAAGTGGAGTTGAAGAACTTTGGGCTGCTCTTGGGATCTAGCGGGATTTCCTCCTTGTTGCGGAACCACTGGTATTGAGATTTTGGGTAGCCTTCATCCTCCAGGCAATGCAGCTCTGCTGGTTTGCCCACCGGGATAGACTTGGGCACAGAGCATCTTGGCACGACTGGCTTCACTGCATGACATACAAGAGAATCATCTTAACGTCATTCCGAAGATCGCATCCTCACACACATGCACCATTACAGCGACTCAGTCTACAGCTGAACACACTGCTCTTTCCCCTTTTAGACCCCAGATTGAATTCAGATGCAGTTTCAGAGGTTTCCTCATTTAGCCCTGGTCACGCCCTGCATGCATCCTGCATGTGCGCCAAGGGTGGGATCATTGGCTCGGCGCTCCTTCTCATCTTACATCGTAGCAGTTGGGAAAAACTAATAATGCTACGTCTACAACCGTTTCAAAAGTTATCCATCAATAGATGTAGAGTTGTTAGAGTTCTCACCTCGTACAGTGAGTGATATCAAGATCTCATCGAAGGATTTCTGGTCATTGGGTGCTGTGACCTCACAGCGGTAGTCAGCGCTGTCCGATCTTGTGGCATTGAGAATGACCAGGGTTGCAGGCTCTCGAATTTTTGCTCTCCTTTCCAAGTCACCTGGAGAAAATAAAACCAAGTGTTATGGTTGGTTGATACAAATCAGTAGTTACAAATCTAGGCCTATAATAATAGTGCAGTTTTCTACTAAATACTACTTTACAATGTTTTTCAGTTCATTAAAACTTGTTGACACATCAGGAATTAAAAACTAAGCACTCAAACACTTATACAGTAACAGTAGTACAGTCAATGCTTACTTGAGCTAAGTACTAATACTATTAAAGCGTTTATTATTTAGGCATATACACACACGCATATATATGGTTAAAAATCTATTTATGCTTCCAGTGATGTCTGTTCTGATGACTTTTGACATCACTTATGTCTAAATGTTTGGGGTCATAAAGTAATACTGTGATTTCCACATCACAATCAGGAGATTCATTGTTGCACAGCTGTCTGCACAGCATGTTCATAAAATATTCCATATTGCTTAATATAGTCCAAGACAAATTTGTCATCCATGTCGTCCCAAGGGGTGTGCAATATTTATAATCTAAGATAACATAATAAATGTTGTTTTAATGATGCGTGAGCTAACATTAGACTCACTTTGCAAAAAAAAAAAAACACAAATAGCTAAAGCATACACTGCATGATGAGGTTTATTAGAATGCAGTTATAACCCAGCAGGCACACAACATCATAAGACGATAAAATTAGGTTAGATTTAGATCATGATGTCAGGTGACCAAAATTCAATGTCTAGCCAGCATCTGAGGACTACTTTATTTTGACGTCTAATAACGACGTCAAATTACATTGATATTTGGTTGATTTTAGATTGCGTTGGAATGTGACCAAAATCCAACATCTGATTGATGTCATAGTGGTAACGTCCACACAACATAAAGGTGTAACATGATAAGACGTTGATATTTTGTTGATTTTAGGTTGACTGCCTGACGTTGGGTTCTGATGTCAACTTGATTTTTATTTCAAGACAAAATCCAACATCCACATGATGTAAGGGAATGTTGGGGTACAACGTCAATATGACGTCATGTTGACATCCTGTGCTTGCAGAGAAAGAATTATTTTTTAAACAGGATTTGTTATAGTTAAGTAATATAGTTTCCTGTATAAGAGTGCGCAAGCGTAATCTCAACTGTAATATGATTTATTACTTGTTCAATAAACAACAATTGAATGTGAAGTGAGTTATATTTTAGACAACATTTGTGTCCCCAAGCCAAGCGGGCACCTTTCTGTCAAAACAACATAAAAAACACATCAACAAGCGAAACAATTTGATGTCAATTCGCTATATTGATGTCAAAACGACACATAATCGACATCTAATATTGGTGTAAAAAAAACAAAAATAATTTATTACAGGACTTTTAGGACTTTACAAGACATTTAAAATCGATTACAGGTGGCATTTTTAGATGTTTTGACATGAAGGTAGTTTATATGCATTGCAGTGATACAAAATAAATGTGTAAACTTGTCATTTTTAACTGAAGCGTTTAGTTGAATAAAACTTTTCTTACATTATAATACTTTTTGTGTCATTATGTTGATGGTCAAAAGGGCATCAATGTGTGGATGTTAAATGGACGTCAAGGTTTTGACATCAAATCAAATTTTTTATGTGTTTTTTAAAACATGTTTTTTATGTCATTTTGTCATCAAGTTGCCCCCCTGAAATAATAATAGTTGTAAACAAAACTGAAGCAGGACATATTTTGTCCCTAAAATTAACTTTTTGAACGAATTTATGAATTTAGGATTCAGTGATCAATTGATAAAGCCATTTACTTGCTTTCAGAATGAATCATCTGTTTTGAATGAATCAATTGAATTATTCACCAACTAAACTTCTAGACCTAATCTTCTTTCAGACACATTAAATGTAAAAATGAACAACCTACATTACTACATACTGTAGAAGTTTTATTCACTATTATTTCTTGGTAAGCATTGCATTATTGTGTTGTGTGTCTCACAGTGTTTATTAGTGTGTTACCTGATATTTGATTATCAAAATACACATAGCTTGGGTCTCCATTCTTAATCTTCTTCCACTCTATTCTGGGTTTAGTGGTGGTGATGGACTCGATCATGCAGGACAGCTCGATTGCTGCATGGGGAAACAAAGCCAGAGCTCACAAACCATTCCAATGGCCTGTTTAATGTTAAAATCAGACTGCAGGAGTTAAATTACTCAGCCTTACATTCAAACTCGTTGACCCACGGTTTAGAATTCGTCGACTTCAGGAGGACTGCCAAGGTGCTGATGTAACCTGCAATGAGAAGAGAGACACAAAGTCAGTTTTAAGAGAAATTAAAGAGAGCTTTTTAGTTCACACAAAAATTCATTTACGAATTCAAGTGGTTCAGGTTCATATGAATAAAAATGGCTACCGATTTTCAAATTTCTTCAAAATATATTCTGTGTTGAACAGAAAATCGGATTTGAAAGAAGTGGAGGGTGAGAAAAGGATGAAATTATGGACGAACCATTGCTTGAACAACTTGAATAACTCGCAGTAACATTTCAGGTGGTGTTATTATAGTCTCAAGCACACGTGACAGTAAAGATTCATGAAACTCAATTAACAGACGAGCCCAGCGTCCAACGCCTCCACCCTGACGGCACACATTCCTCGCATCTCTGTGAGCTGTGAACGGATATGTTACCAGCCATCTTTAGTTTCACTCTCACAACAAACATCACTGATGTAAAATTGTCCCACCACAGATAATTGTGCAGACTGACAAGCAGCCTCCATTCTGTATCATGAATAACAGCTGACTGCATTAAACTGAAGGCCAAAGGGGCTCGCTAAGTTCACATAGTCGCTAATAAACATGCTAAATCATAAAAGGTCAGCTTTAAAGTTCATATTATTTTTAGACGTTTATGTCTCATCGTTTTTGGTCTCGCATCAAGAAAATGTTTCAATGGATCTAGTTTAGAAACACTTGTTCTATTTGAGCTATACACCTTAAAGTTTACCGTTTTACTGTCTATGAAATGCTGGTTGGCTAGCAGCATGGAAAAGCTATTGAAAGCACCTAATATACCCGTGTAAGGTCATTTTGTCAAAATATTCTGTACAAATATCAGAAGCTTTTTTTTCCATTTTCTGAAAGAGCATAAATTGAGGGCACTGAAATTTTAATGGCCATCTGATTGCGAGGGATAATTTTTATAAATATTTGATGATTGTATTTTGGGCCAAGGCTCTTGAGAATAACCATCTCACACAGAACAAGGCTGGTAATACAACAGACTCGACTGTAAATCTGACAGAAGTCAAAGAAAGAGTTTTGTGATAGCATATAACAGTTAAGATCAGTCCATCCAACCATGAAGTATTGGATAAGTCTCAAAATATGTCATAGAAAGCCTATACATATCTTTTTCCTTCTTTTAAACGTTTTTTATTTATTTTTTGGCCAAAAACAAACAAGCTAAAAGAATACAGACACCATAAATTGTCTTCTTCCCATCAGGCACATGATGTCAACATGACATCAGATTGACGTTGTACCTCACAGGATGGGAACATTGCATTTGGGGTGAAAATGAAAACCAGTTTGAGGTCAGAACCCAACGTCACGCCGACGTCGGACAGACACTTTCCAACACACAAAAAAAAAAAACACATATATATATATATATATATATATATATATATATATATATATATATATTCAGTTCAATGATGTTAGAGCTTGACGTTGTGCGGATGTTACCACTATGACGTCTATCAGATGTTAAATTTTAGTTGGATAAATGTCAGTATTATTATGTCAATATAAAAATTGGTGTAAGACAGGGGTTTTAAACTCAAATTGGTGGGGAGCCATTTCAGAGACTAACAAATGATAGGAGGGAAGTCTTAACATCCGGAAATGATGCTTATGATTGCGTGAGGAGTTTGAGTTATTCAATTAACAATGAGTATGTTGGATCTGGGTGGGGTCAAGTAGGAGCACTCACTCTGATCCCCTGAGCTCTGCCAGGGTTGTGGAAATTTCAAATTTAACCAAAACAAATCATTTCAATTGGTTAACGATTGACAAGGAAGACTAGGCACAAAAGTCAACCAGCAGAACTTGGGAAGTAAAAAAAAAAAAGGAGCATGTTTACATGGACACCAATAATATTATTTTAATATGATTAAGACAATACTCTGATTAAGAGTCTACCATGTAAACAGCGATTTTTGATTACCTTAATTCAACTGAACTCATAAATGAAGTAAACAGGAATCGAATTAAGACATGTGGAGTATGCCGATTTAAATCACATTATTGTAGTGCAGAACACACATGCACTCAAACTATTACCGTTGTGTAGGATTTTTGTTGCACTTTGCAACAGGATAGTCTATACACACACTGTTGTTTGACACTATGGAGTCAATGAAGGAATACAGACACCTGCATCGCGAAATGTGAAGATTTTTTTTTCCATTAAGCGTGCGGTATCAATACAACACTCTTCCAGCAATTTATACTCGCATCCAATATCTCGTTTGTCACGGTGGGGCATGCATGAAATGTTTCTGAATGAAAGTGAAAGAGCCAAACTGCAGTTAAAGTTGACAAAATAAAAATGAAACACTCGAAATTACCTGAAACTCCAGAGGAAACATGGAAAGCATGGTGACGCAATGATGTTATTCGATTTATGTGCTGTAACATGTAAACCGGGATCTCAAGCAACTCATGTAAACACCTTAATCATATTATTGTCTTATTCAGATTAAGACAAATAATCTGATTACTGATGTCTAAACATAGGCAATGACAATTAATTATTCAATAAAAAATAACATAATTTGTCTTTGTGAATGCAGTAAAGGCTATGTATGAAATTGAACCCCTAAATAAACCAATGCACACACATAATTTAAAAAGTTGACTTCATAAAATATTTGTAATCTCTTATTAAACATGATTCACAACATCAAGTCAAAAAATAAAAGTTGTCTAATAATAACCCCGAAACACATCACTTGTTGTCGTGGTAAATCTGGCTAATCGTGAAAAAGCTGTGTCGTCATCAAAGCTCCTGCAGACCTACAGTGACAGGACATTAGCACTATTTCAAGTCAGACAATATTTCTATATATCTGTCATGTACTGCTTCAAGTCAAATTTCAATTGGTCTGCGCTGAGCCGCATCAAGTCAAAAGCACCTTATGAGTTTTGTTTAATTACTTCCCTGACTCACCAGGTGTCTCATATTATCTTGTCATCCCATTACTGTATTTAAGCCACAGTGTTTCCCATGTTTGTGGGTCAGGTGATTAGTGCTAATGTTGATGTGCTCTTGCTAAAGTAATATACCTTCACTGCATTAAATATACCTTCAGTTCCATAGTCCCTGCACTTCCCATGCACATCTCAGCAACATATCTTCAACAGCTTCTTATCTAATGTTCACCTTCCATTTCAGCATTACCAAAATGATTTGAATATTTAAAACTAATGGAATAATTCACCCATAAACGTTGAAGTATTGATCCATTTGTCACCATTTACTTCAACTTGCTCTAGACATGTTTGAGTTTCCTTTTTTTCTGTTGTTCAGGATATAAATTATTTAAAGAATGTTGAAAACAGGTAGCGACTGACTTCTAGTAACATTTATACTTAGATTACATATTTTTCTACTATACATTAGTTTCCAACAATCCTCAATATATCAAATAAACTTATAAAGGCTTGGAAGTGCTTGAGGGTGAATAAATGGTTTGAAAATGTACATTTTTGTGGAAATGATCCCTTTAACAATAGAAGCTTTACAAAGTCATAAAGGATGCAGGATATCCTAATAAAACGCACAAGCATACACATCCTCTTTTCAGAGGCAGGACACAATAGCTGCACTCTAACTGGATGTTTAGGAAACAGCCTGTCCTCTAAAACAGGAGGCTGGAGCTCAACCCTAGCGAAACGGCAGCTCACGTCAGTAACGCTCAGCTCTGTCCTGCCGGATGAAGGCTCTGTTTTCTGATGCCATTTGAGGGATAATTGAGCCCTCAAACAAGGCAGGTGCTCTATGACCTACATATCCTGACCTCTCTCTAGTTGTTAGGAAAGCACAGCTGGATAAGATGTGACAATCCTGGCCCAGCTTTAATCTTCTGCTTCTTCCTTTAGAGGCCTGTCTGTTGGTTTCTCTTCAGTAATCTTAGTGTAATGCCTGGGTAAAATCCTGGGCATTACAGAACTGTATAATATAATTGAGAGAGAAAGAGAGATATTCTTGACTTATCTACATAATATATTTTTGTGTTGTTGATACTGTTTGTGGCATAATGTTGATTATTAAATAGTGTTATTTGTTTTTAAGTTTACAAATATTATTATAATGCACAATTACAATTGTTTTGTATTTTAAAATGTAATTTATTCATTTGCAGCAAGGTTGAATCATTAGCATAATTAATCTGATCTGTGTCACGTGATCCCTCAGAAATAATTCTAGTAAGCTGATCTGATGCTCTAGGAATATGTATTTTTACATTTTTTATTAATGTTGAAGTATATAAAGATACTGATAAATATTAATGTTAAAATAAAATGTGTAAAATGTAAAAATAAATGTTTGTTCTTTTTAACTAAAAGAAGTAAGTTATTTCAGGGAATGAAAAATAGTAAATTCCAAAACAGGCTCAAACTAAATATAAGTAATATATCTAAGAAAACCTGTCATTTTTAGCTATAATTGCATTCATATTATGCACTCTATCTCTCACAGTCAACAAGTTGAGCACTCTACACATCACATCTGCCACTGAACCGGACTACATATTCCATCATACACTTCAAACACAGCAGTTCCAGTTCACCGCTCATTACAATCACACAGCTGAATCTCATGAGGACTGATTATCAGAACTATATATACACCTCACCTTCAAAACATCTTTGTTCAGACCTGTATCACAGTTAGTGTGGATCACCCAGTGGTTACTTGTTTTTGACAAATTGATGTTATATTAAAATAACTTATAAATAAATATGTTCATCTGGAGATGTTTCATAGTAAATAAACAGATAAACGTTCAGTAATATGTTTTATTATTATTACAAAGGATAGACTAAATACTATACATTAGAAAAAGCTGCAAATAAGTTTTATTAAAACAGTTTTAACAATTAAAATAAACAGCTATCATAAAAAAATAGAATCAAGGTATCACATCTCAATCTTTTCTTCACTATATAACTGAACATTCTGATTAAAGAGCAACAAATGAATCTTTCATTTAGATTTTTC